GGGTTGAGGGTTCAGGGGTTTTAGGGTTTAGGGTTGAGGGTTCAGGGGTTTTAGGGTTTAGGGTTCAGGGGTTTTAGGGTTTAGGGTTCAGGGGTTTTAGGGTTTAGGGTTTAGGGTTTAGGGCCTGGGGTTTCGAAGCCGAGCGGGGTTTGAAGGTTTAGGATAGCTTCCTGAGAGTGGGTCTTTAGGTTTTCGACACAAAGGGCATCGTGATTTGAAGGATCTGCGTCTTTGGGGGCTGAAAGTTGAAACCCTAGCAACAAGCCTCCGATTCCTTCCTTTCCCAGGATGTTCAGGTGACTCGTCGCCTGACTTTGCAAGCTCAGGCCTTTTTGGGTTTAGGTTTGACTATGGATGTCGTTACAGGACAATAGAACATCCCCCTTGTGGTCCCTTTAACTCTCTCTTTGTTCCTATATCTATGTCTATATCTACATGTCTACATCTGTGTTTGTATCTACATCTTTGTGGTCTACATCTACGTTTATATGTATATCCATAATAGTTGCATACATACCCTAATACACCACCCCGCCCCGCCCCTCTCTTTTCGCGCACCAAAAACTTCGTTTCATTTACGAAGCCCCCTCCAGGATCGGCTGACACGGCTCCAGGGTATTTTGGACACTTTCGAGGTGACGATCGCGGAAGCGACGCTTGATCTGCGTTTTGGTCGTGTTGGAAGCTCCCATAGTAGCATAGGCTCCCATCTCTCGTGCTTCAAGGAGGCGCTGTCTAGGACTTTAGGACATAGGCTGCCGTCTTGGGCGCCAGGTACACGCTAAGCCCAAACCACTGAAGGTTCAGGTGCAGGCTTGTGCTTTGGTACAGGTCATCTGTACATCATTATTGCATTATGCATCCGTTGAAGTAGCTTTCGTGTGCAGCTTTCACTCTCAGCCCTCGCTTACACTATAGGGATACCTGATGCACGAGCCCAAAGCCCGAAATAGTAAGCCTTGCCACAGGCCATAAACTTCAAGCCTTCAACCTCAAGCCATAAACCTCAAGCCTTGAACCACAAACTCTGCTCCACAAAGCCGCAAAACGAGGAATGATTTGGTTGTCTTGGAAGACTACGAGATCGTTCTCATTCTAGACGATTCTGGCAGCCTCTGCGAAGCATTGACGCAAGCTTGCCGCTTCACAATGCTCTTTAGACTCCTGTAGCTTCAGCTCCAAGAATGTATCTGCTCCAGCGTGACTTTCAGTCGAAAGCATTGGATCTACCGGTAAGAAGAAAACCATTGAAGATCAACGATATTGAACTCTACCCACACCCCGCCCTAAAAGTAACAGCAATCTCGCCGGCGTCATCATCATGACCATGACCGCCATCATCAACATACTCGTGGCCGTCACAATAATCATGCGAAGGAAAGTAGCGACGCCTAAAACTCACAATCCCGGGGGCTAGATGTATACGTTGTTGTTGGGGGCGGGGCGGGTGGATAGAAGTCGAAATTGAGGATTCTTCCGAGAATCATACACCGATACTCGGACACTCTCCCGCCGATCGAGGATGAAGCGAAGCAGCCACCCCAAACCCTAAACTCTCAGAAACACGTTCGACTCTTGGATTAGCGGTTGCTCCAGGTTATAAGGGTGGCTGCCTCAGAGCACCAGAGGCCCAACATAGGAGTTCCAGAACAACTTCAAGGACCCCTAATACTAACAACAATAATACTAACAACAATAATCATAATAACAATAATAATAATAACAATAACACTAATAATAATAATAGTAAAATTTTCAGAACCCCCACCCCAGAAAGATATTCAACCAACTTTGACAAGATCCCCAGCTTACCACATCTAACAGCTCCCTGGCTCTTGAAGAAGCCGCCCCGCCCCCCTTCCCCCCCTTGCAGCACCTGAGGCCTAAACCCTAAACCCTAAACCCAGCACCTGAGGCATGAACATGTCAGCGCTGCCGGCTGGCCAGCGCTCTCTCCTAGATGCCAAGATCTCACGCAGCTCACATGAAGCAGGGTTTCTACTACGGTAATTTCCTTAGTATTGGCGAATGTATATGTTAAGTTTTGTTGTGGGGATACTGGCATCGAACGCCCTACGTAGTAACTGTTGAGGAGTGTTTACGGCTTAGAAGGCTTTAGACCTTAACCCTAAACCCTAAACCCTAACCCCTAAACCCTGTTTTGGGGCTGTGGGGGTTTATGGTGTTAGGCTTCAGGGTTGTGTTGATTGAGTGGTACGGGATTGAGGCTCTGAAGCTTTGGGGCCTCAGGGCCTTCTGGTTTTAGGGGTTTTAGGGCTTTAGGCTTTTAGGGTTTAGAGCTTTAGGGTTTAAGGGTTTTAGGGCTTTAGGGTTTGGGGGGTTTTAGGATTTTAGGGTTTTCGGGTTCAGGGATTTTAGTGCTTTGGGCTTGGAGTTCTGAGTTCCTGGCTTGAGTAGCTGGCGTCGACAAGAGTACCCGTCTTTCGAGAAAAGGGAGTTCATGAAACCTCTGAAACACCTTTCGAACCCTAAACCCTAAACCCTAAACCCTAAACCAGGCGGAGCTGAAGGCGCCCAAGAGCCCAAAACGCGCCAATTGAGGGGTGCGGAGTCTAAAAGTCTAAAGTCGCTGAGTCTGGAGCTCGTGGCTTGGCCAACTTAGGATGGGACGAGCTCCGACAGACCGTGACGCTGCTGGTGGACCTGGCTTGCTGCTTTGACAAGTCGGGCTTGGACGCCTGGAAGCACTTCAAAGCCTACAAAGAAGCAGGTATTGATGCAGAGCCAGCCCCATCCTAATGCTTGTGTCTGTAAGCATGGAATCGAAACGACTCCGAATCGCTCAGTCTGATGGATTTCGTAGGAGCCCTTCGGTTGGTTCAGGGTGCCGTGTCCTCTAATCATTTCGGGTTGGGGTGTCCTTTTTGCTGCACTCCTCCTTGCATGCCTCTCCTCGTGTGTTTTCTGATTGGTGTTGCCGTGGGCTCAGCAGGTACCATCTTCTTGGCCCTTCGCCGTGGATTTTGGATTCTGCCTGGTTCCTCCGGTTCCGGCTGATCCCTCATTGGCTGGTCTCCGTAGGCTGCAGGCCACTCACATGCAAGGCGAGCCTGACCACTTGAGGTGGAGGCTCGGGGCTGCTAGGGCCTCTTCGGCCTGCGGAGCTGCTCGTTGGCATCGGGCGGTGGCGGCGAGCCTGGATGGTGTCCAATTTTTTGAGGTAGGCCAGCACGAAAGTAACCCAACGTTGAGATGCCAGTGGCGCGAAGCTCCTGCCTCTTGCGAGTCCCTTGGTCCTTGGCAGGTACATAGAGCCTGGCGGTTCCTCGAGCCAGGTGAGTTGAAACCCTAGTTCCATCCGTGTTCCATTCTAGGCTGACCGCCAAAAGAAAGGGCCATGTGGCCTTGGCCAGCTCATCCCTCTCGCACATGAGGGCATCGAAGATCAGTCCCACCTGGTATGCCACCAGTGACATGTCGCGAGCATTTGCCCAGGCGCCGAAACGTTCCCAATACCTGCTCAGACTGAGCCCTTGCTCCCGCATCGCATGTGGTGTGCCTGGACAGCACCTCCTTGAAGAAAGTGCCCCTGCCAATGCAGTTCCTCTGCATCCGGGCACGTTGTGAGGCCCAGCGAACTCCTGCAGATCCAGTAGCCAACTGCTGCACGACAAAGGTGAAGGCTTTCGATTGCGCCAGGGCAGGGGCTCGAGCGGCCGGCTGTGAGCCCAGGCGAGCCCAGGTAGGAAGCTGAGTCTTTGGAGTGGCACTAAAACCGTCTGCCAGCGGCCGTTGCAGAGGAGCTGCCCATCAGCTCCGTGCGCCTGGTCCGTTGGACCACGCCACAGAATCCGGCCTGTCCAGCGCCGCTAGCCGATCGACCGGGAACATGGCCTTGAGTCGGGCGCGTTGGAGACGCAAACCACTGGAAAGAGACTGGAGAATTTCGCAAGAAACTGATAAATTTAAAACAAGGAGCAAACCGCTCTAAAGGAACTAGAGTACTAGAGAAATTCAGAGCAAGGAGCCATCCGCTCGAAAGGGACTAGAGAATTTCGAAAGAGACTTTAGAAATTGAAAACAAGGAGCAAAGCGCTCGAAAGGAACTAGAGAGTTTCAGGGCAAGGGCCAAACCGCTCGAAAGAGACTAGAGAAATTGAAAACAAGGAGCAAACCGCTCGAAAGGAACTAGAGAGTTTCAGAACAAGGAGCAAACCGCTCGAGAAAGATTAGAGAATTTCGAAAAAAGACTAGAGAACTTGAAAAAAAGGAGCAAACCGCTCGAAAGGAGCTAGAGTACTAGAGAAATTCAGAGCAAGGAGCCATCCGCTCGAAAGGGAATAGATAGTTTCGAAAGAGACTTCAGAAATTCAAAACAAGGAGCAAAGCGTTCGAAAGGAACTAGAAAGTTTCAGGACAAGGGCCAAACTGCTCGAAAGAGACTAGAGGAATTGAAAACTAGGAGCAAACCGCTCGAAAGCAACTAGAGAATTTCAGAAGAAGGAGCAATCCGCTCGAAAGAGACTAGAGAATTTCGATAGCGATTAGATAATTGAGAAGAAGGAGCAAAACGCTCGAAAGGAATGAGAGAGTTTCTGAACAAAGAGCAAACCGCCCGAAAAAGATTCGAGAAATTAACAAACCGGAGCAAACCGCTCGAAAGAAACTGGAGATTTTCAGAAGAAGGAGCAAGCTGCTCGAAAGAGACTAGAGAGTTTCCAAAGTGACTCGAGGAGATCAGAAGACGGAGCAAACCGCTCGAAAGAAACTAGAGAATTTCAGAGCAGCGAGCAAACCGTGCAAAGGAGACTAGACCTTTTCGGAAGAGACTAGAGAGTTTGAAAACAAAGAGCAAACCGCTCGAAAGGAACTAAGGAATGTCAGAAGAAGGATCAAACCGCTCGGAAGAGACTAGGCAATTTCGACAGAGATTTGAGAAACTCAGAACAAGGAGCAGACCGCTCGCAAAGAGCTAGGGAATTTCATAACAAGGAGGAATCCGCTCGAAAGAAGCTGGACAATTTTCGAAAGAGGCTAGAGACATTCAAAGCAAGGAGCAAACCGCTCAAAAGGCAGTAGAGAGTTTCAGAAGAAGGAGCAAACCTCTCGAAAGAGAATGGAAAATTTCGAAAGAGGCTGGAGACGTTGAAAACAAGGAGCAAACCGCTCGAAAGGAACTAGAGAGTTTCAGAACAAAGAGCAACCCGCTCGAAAGAGACTAGAGGATGTACTAAAGAATTTGAAATCAAGGAGGAAACCGCTCGAAAAGAGCTAGAGAAAACCGCTCGAAAGAGGCTAGAAAGCTTGAAAACAAGGAGCAAACCGCTCTAAAGGAACTAGAGTAACTAGAAAATTCGGAGCATGGAGCCATCCGCTCGAAAGGGACTAGAGAATTTCGAAGAGGAGGCTTTGGAAATTGAAAACAAGGAGCAAACCGCTCGAAAGGAACTACGTAGAGGGTTTCAGAACAAGGAGCAAACCGATCGAAAGAGACTAGGGGGTTTCGAAACAGACTAGAGCATCTCACAACAAGGAGCACACCGCTCGAACGGAACTAGAGAATTTCAGAAGAAGGAGGAAACCGCTCGAAAGAGACTAGAGAATTTTGAAAGAGACTAGAGGAGTTGAAAACAAGGAGCGAACCGCTGGAAAGGAACTAGAAGGTTTCAGAAGAAGGAGCAAACCGCTCGAAAGAGATTAGAGAATTTCGTAAGAAATTTGATAAATTCAAAACACGGAGCAAACCGCTCGGGAGGAACTGGAGAAATTCAGAACACAAAGATCAAAGGAGCGAACCGCTCGACAGAGACTAAAGAAGTTCGAAACAGACTTGAGAATTTGATATCACGGGGCAAACCGTTCGGAAGGAACTAGGAAATTTCAACTAGAGCAAACCGTTCGAAAAAGGCTAGAGAACTTGAAAACAAGAAGCAAACCGCTCGAAAGGAACTAGAGAATTCCAGAACAAGGAGCAAACCGCTCGAAAAAGGCTCGAGAATATCGAAAGAGAGAATTTGAAACAAGGAGCAAGCCGCTCGAAAGGAACTCGAGAATATCAGAAGAAGGAACAAACCGCTCGAAAGAAATTAGAAAATTTCCAAGGAGGCTTCAGAATTTCAATACAAAGACAAAGCCGCTCGAAGCAAACTACAGAGTTTCAGAAGAAGCTGCAACTCGCCTGAAAGAGACTAGAGAAGTTCGATAGAGACTTCAGGAATTGAAAATATTCAGCAAACCGCTCGAAAAGAACTAGGGGTTTCAGAAACAGGAGCAAACCGCTCAATAGAAACTAGAAATTTCGTAAGCCACCAGGTAAAGAGATTTGAGAACCTGAAAACACGGACCAAACTGTTCGAAGGGAAGTAAAAAATTTCAGTCGAAAGAAGCTAGAGGATTCCGAAAGAGACGAACGAATTTGAACACAAGGGGCAAACCGCTCGCAAAGGACTGGAGAAATTCGGAACAAGGAGCGAATTGCTCGCAAGAGATTAGAGAATCTGAAAGCAAGGAGAAAACCGCTCGACAGGCACTGGAGAATTTCAGCTCGCAAGGAACTAGAGAATTTCGAAAGAGACGGGAGGATTTGCAATCAGAGAGCAAACCGCTCGAATGGAACTAGGGAGTTTCAGAAAAAGGAGCAGACCGCTCGAAAGACACCAGAGAACTTCGCAACAGACTTTGAGAAATTAAACCAGGAGCAAAACACTCGAAGAGTCTCAGAAGAAGGAGCAAATTGTTCGAAAGAGATTAGATAAATTAAATACACGGAGCAAGCCGCTCGAAAGTACCTAGAAAATTTTAGACCAAGGAGCAAACCGCTCGAAAGAAATTAGGCAGATTTCGAAAGAGACTAGAGATTTTGCAACAAAGAAGAAACCGGTCGACAGGAACTAGAGAATATCAGAACAAGGAGCAAACCGTTCGAAAGAAACTAGACCAATTTCGAAAGATACTAGAGACATTGAAACAAGGAAGAAACCGCTCGAAAGGACCTAGAGAAATTCAGAAGGAGGAGCAAACCACTCGAAAGAGACTAATCAGAGAATTTCGAAAAAGCCGTGAGAGTTTAAAAACACGGAGCAAGCCGCTCGAAACGATCTAGAGAGATTCAGAGGCAGGAGCAAACCGCTCGAGACAGACTAGAGAATTTCGAAAGTGACTACCGAATTTGAAAAGAAGGAGCAAACCGCTCGAAGGAGCAAACTGCTCGAAAGAATTAAGGAAATTCGATAGAAACTAGAGAAATAAAAAGCAAGAAGCAAACCTCTCGACAGGAACTATAGAAGATTTTCAATAGACGGCGCAGACCGCTCGAAAGAGACTAGAAAGTTTCAAAAAAGACTAAAGGATTTGAATCAAATGGGCAAACTGCTCGAAAGGAACTAGAGAATTTCAGAAGAAGGAGCAATCCGCTCAAAGGAGAAGAAAAAATAATTTGAAAACAAGGAGCAAACTGCTACCGCGCCAAAGGAACGATTGAATTTCAGAACAAGGAGGAAACCGCTCGAAAGAGACTAGAGAAGCTCGAAACAGACTTGAAAGTTTGAACGCAAGGAGCAAGCTGCTCGAAAGGGACTAGAGAAAATTGGAACAAGGAAAGAATCGCTCGAAAGAGACTAGAGAAGTTGATAAGACGGAGCAAACCGCACGAAAGGAACTAGAAAGTATCAAAAAGAAGGAGCAAACCGCGCTAAGAAACCAGAGAATATCGAAGGAGACTAGAGAATTTAAAACAAGAGCAAACCGCTCGAAAGAGGCTAGAGAATTTCGGAAGAGACTTGAGAAAACAAGGAGCAAACCGCTCGAAAGGAACTAGAGTAACTAGAGAAATCCAGAACAAGGAGCAAACCGCTCGAAAGAGAGTAGAGAAAATCGAAAGAGACTAAAGAATTTGAAAACAAGGAGCAAACCGCTCGCAAGGAAATAGAGAATTTCAGAACACAGACTTGGGAATCTCGAGAGAGGCAGGAGAATTTGAAAACAAGGAGCAAACCGCTCGACAAGAACTAGAGAATTTCAGAGCAAGGAGCAAACCGCTCGAGAGAGACTAGAGAATATCGAACAGACGAGAGAATCTGCAAAATAAGGAGCAAACCGCTCGAAAAGAGCTAGAGAAGTTCATACCAAGGAGCAAACCGCTCGAAAGAGACTAAAGTATTTCGACAGAGAGGCGAGAATTTGAAAGCACGGATCAAGCCGCTCGAAAGGAACTAGAGAAGTTCTGAACAAGGAGCAAAATCCGGGCGAAAGAGACTAGAGAATTTCGAAAAGGACTCGAGAGGTTGGAAACAAGGAGCAAACCGCTCGTAAGGAACTAGAGAGTTTCAGAACAAGGGGCAAGCCGCTCGAAAGAGACTAGTGAATTTCGATAGAGACTAGAGAAGTGGAAAACACAGAGCAAACCGGTCGAAAGGAACAGGAGATTTTCAGAACAAGGAGCTGTCCGCCGGAAAGAGGCTAGAGAATTTGGAAAGAGACTAGAAAAATTGAAAACAAGGAGCAAATCGCTCGAAAGGAACGAGAGAGTTCAGAACAAGGAGCAATCCGCCCGAAAAAGGCTAGAGAATTTCGAAAGAGAGCAGAGGACATTGAAAACAAGGAGCAAACCGTTGTCCAGGGTTCTCCCATAGGATTTGGATTCGACAAGGTTTAAGGTTTCCTCAGAACATTCAGTCTTAACGCATTTATGTATGTAGACAACTCTTCGTCGATTGCTTAGCGCTTAAATTCGGAATTTAATCCTAAGCGAGAGACAGGCATAAATTCAAATTAAAAGTTTTCCCGTGGCGCTCGACTGATGGCTTCTGCTTGGTTCAGAGGTTTAAATTCGAATTTAAGCCATCTGGATGCGATGTCAACGCCGCGCCCGGGAGGGGAATAAATTTGAATTTAATCCTTTTTAAGATCGAAATCTTGCCTCATCCGTCTGTAAGCATGGAATCGAAACGACTCCGAATTGCTCCAGCTGCACTCCCTCTGCGCCCAGTGCCTCTGGGTCGTTATTGCGGCTGAGTGCAATGCTTGAGCTTGGAGCTTTAGCATTGCTTCAGCATCCTTCGCAGGTGGCAACTGGTTTCAACCTTGTGCAAAATGCGCTCGGTTCACACAACCCTGCGGAAGCCAGAAGGAAAGAGCTGATGATCATGCTTGAGTAGCGCCTGATGCCTAGTTTTCGCCTTGAGCCTTGAGTTTCGAATCCTGAGTTTTGAGATATCTTCACAAATGGCTCCCACTTTGGGCTATTGTCGGGATATCAGTTATTTTGGTAGGCACCAGTTTCGAAATCCCAATCCTGCAAGCCCAGCCCCGAAGCGGCAAACCCGAAGCTCAGAAACTGGGTTCTTGTTAAGGGATCTCACTTAAGTTGCCATAATAAAGAAACCCGATTATTTACTATAGATCCTATTATGCTAACTTAAATAAGATCCCTTAACAAAAACCCAGGAAACCGTGCTAGAGCGGCCAACCCCTGAACCGCCAACCGAAGGCCCTCCACCCCAAGCGCTCAAAACTTATAACGCCACTAATCCCTCAGAAAGGACATCTTTTTCTTGAACCGTGGAAAGCTTGAGGGCGTCACCGGCTCAACTGATGAACGACTAGCAGCCCGACCTTGTTGCAGTTCCGGGTTGAAGGTCTATATGTGGGTCCGTTTATTTGCAACTCACACCTACTTCGTTTTGGCACAGTGCGATGTGAGTACAATGCGGGACACCCAACATCATTTTCTTAGGCAGTCTTGCACGGCCCGACGAGGACTTCAGCAGATGTAGATAGTTTGTAGCGTGTAGGGCTTCATGGCATAGGCGGCATAGGGGTCGGACTCTGGGGCTGAGCCGTTCCGAGTGCTGCGCGGGACTCTTGTGGGATGGTCTCTGTGATTGCGGCCGTCAGGGCTCTGCTGTGTCTTCCGAGTTGACAAATTCTAGCACTGGCAAACGAAGCAGAACTCGTGTGCGACATGGCAAGCTGAAAAACAGACCATGGTGCCACTACGATGAACAGTAGCCACAGCAGCATCAACAGCAACAGCGACAGATACAAGAATATGACGACCACACCAAAAAACGCGAGACCGGACGACAACAGAACGCATCCAAAGCCACATGCCCTAAACCACCAAACCGCAAAACCCACCGCCCAAACCCCTAAACTCCATACCCGCGAGTTGCCCTAAATCCTAAAGCCCCGGAGCTAGCTGCACCTTCCCCCTCGCCCGAGCCTCAGGTGGCGGCCTTCGATTCTAAGGCTGCAGGCACCACGCCCTTGACGGAGACGCTGAGCCTGGTGGCCAAGACCGTGGCAGGAGCCAAGCGGTCTAGCGGCAGCAATGAACAGACCTGTATTGTCACACCGGGCAGAAGTGGGTGTATCGAAGGCAAAACGAATCCCGGAACCCCAAACACTGAACTAAACCCAGAAGAAGCACCAAAAGTGCCAGGAGAGCGGCCTGTTTTACTCATGATCTTCACGGATGGGGAGCCCAACGGTGGCTCCAAGCTCTTCGAGGCGGAGTTGACCAAGCTGGTGACCAAGAAGAGCACCTTGGCGCTGGTTTTGTAGATTTTTAATTAGAATGGGGTTTTTGGGGGTTCCTTATTATATTTATAGTATAATTTACCCCCAAACCCTATTCTNNCTAATTATTACGGCCCCTACATTAGATTTTTGTAGCTTGGAGGGCTTGGCAGGGCTCTATTAGGAGCACGAGGCACTCAGGAGGTTCATCAAGCCCCAGGCTTCTGAGATTCTGGGGTTTGCTTGAAGCGAGCCAGCAGAAAAGCGCGAGCAGGCACACAAGGCACTTTCAAGGTGCAGATTATGGCTTGCACCGATGACGAGGACGGAGGGGTTTGCTTCGGGTGTGTGCAAAAAGCAGTTTTTTTTTTTTTTTTGGGGGGNNCGGGGGGGGGGGGTTTGGCTGGGCCGGGAGTCAAGATCCATCGGCCCCGGAATTCTCCGACTTTTGCGGCGGGTTTCCTGCAACAAAAATCGCTCCTTGCTTTGTAGGAGCTTCGGTGAAGAGCTCGGGGGCCAGTGCCGTAGAAGGCTTCAAGGCACAGCGGCTTTTCTAGATCCAAACCCCAAGTTGCAAAGCCTAAGAATCCTCACCGAACTCCGAGTCCTCCTTCGAACGCTATTTAGGGGTCTGTAGTATGCCGCAGAACAGGGTGTGGGGGACATCAAACTACACTTCAAAGGACGCTGAGAAGAGGTCCTGGCGTAGATGGAGAGGCAGATGGATTGGGCTTGAGGCTGCAGACTCTCCCACTTTTTCATCAAGAGCCAACTCTGGGGATGTTCCATCTCAAAGCTTAGCAGAATCTCATCAACACTGCTTCTGCGCACTTTTGGCTGGATACACAGGATTGGTGAGGTCTGAAAGAATCTCCATGAGACTTGCAGAAGAAACCTTCCAGGTTTCGTGCCTAACCCTTGGTCCCCAGGATGCAGTGGGCTACTTGAACCGAATCGACAAGAACTTCGACTCTGTGGACGTCACGGACGACTACCACAGTCTCCTGGCGGCAAGGAGGGCGAGTCGGGCGGGTGACAATTTGCCGTTTCTGGCTTCAAAAGTCACGGGCAAAAAGCAAAGTGCAAACGCCCAGGTGAGAAGCAGGAGGTCTTGATAAAGGCCAAGAAGCGAGAGGCCTTCACTCGCGGTGACTGGCTCCTCAAAGCCATGCTCGGCCCTATCTCCACGAAATTTGACGGATGGGACGAAGGGCAGAAGATCCCCGGCAGAATTTTCTTCGTGATTGCGCGAAACAGTCCAAGTGCCTGTCCGAGTAACAGTAGCTCCGTCGCATTGGTCGTCGTCGTCGTCGTCGTCGCAACAGTAGCAGGAGCTGGTTGGCACGAGTGTTGTTCTAGGTTGGCATGAAGGTAGGTGTCCAGGTAGCTGCAGGAGGACAACAAGGAGAGGCGGCAGAACCGAAGGAGGAGAAGGAGGTCTTGATGACGGTGGCACTGCTGGTAGTGATGATGATGATGATGATGATGATTATTGATGTTGCTGAGCCTGACGCTCATGAGGAGTGCGAGGAGGGCAATGATGATGATGATGATCATCATCATCACCATCGTCATCATAACCATCACCACCATCACCACCATCATCACCATCATCATCATCAGCAGCAGCAGCAGCGTCGTTATCGTCATCGCCATCATCATCATCGTCATCGTCGTCCTCCTCCTCCTCCTCCTCCTCGTCCTCCTCCTCCTCCTCCTCCTCCTGCACCATCACCACCATCACCACCATCACCACCATCACCACCATCACCACCATCACCACCATCACCACCATCACCACCATCACTACCATCACCACCATCACCACCATCACCACCCATCATTATCATCACCGTCATCATCACCACCGTCACCAGCATCACCATCACCATCATCATCAGCAGCAGCCTCATCATGAACATCAAACTCAGCCTTCATGCTACGAGATGTGGAAAGAATCTAAGCGCTCTAGGTTCTGCATTTCCACTCGACCCGGCTGAAGGTCGGCTCATGCTCGAGGCCTCGGGGATTTAGGTTGAGGGCTTCATGGAGGTTGGGGTTTAGGGTTTAGGGTTCAGTAAATTTTTTGGGTAGCTGTTCGGACCAAAAGGTGCACTCGCAGCGCGTGCAAAGAGGGTTTAGGGTTTAGGGTTATAGTCATAGGACGCAATCCAGAAAGCCTAGCATTTGCCAATGAGGCCTGTTGTAATGTGGGAACCCCCGTTACAAATTGAGAAGCCGAACGTGAAGCCGAGGAAGACCTCGGACGTCTCAAGCAGCCAGGTCGGTCGGGAGGGGCAGTAAATTTGGGTTGAATTTAGGAGTTAGGTTTTTCAGCTTCGGGTTGTTTTGGTTGTGCTTCAAGAGTCTAGTTAAAGTTCCGGGCGGTCTCGGGATTTTTGTCCATGACAACCCCCGGCAGCAGTTACTTCTGTGTCTTTGTACGTCTGCTCAATGCTGCATCCGAGTCTTCGCGGCATTCCCGAATGTGCCTAAACCCTAAACCCTAAACCTGTTGAGGTGAAGGAACTGTTCAAAAGCCTCAGGATTCAATAGGAGGCAACCGGACGATGCTTGTCAGAACTTTGCGACCTCTTGTGCTCTTGTCCCGGGAGCCCAGTAGCTCTTAGTTCAGAGGAAGATGCCTTGAAGTTCAGTAGGTTTCTGGCTGGGGTGCTGGGCTCTCTGTATCTGTACGGTGTGGCAATGTTTCTGTATGAGATGCACTGCAGTGTGTACAAGGCCGCCACTTTAAAAAGGTATCTGTGGCGGTGCTCAAGCGCTAACACGCGGAGCAGAACCTAGAGCCAGAGCGTACTGGGCTCTTCGCCGTATTTTGGGCGTCAAGCTGAGCCCTCGTGCTTGGGGATTCGGGGGAGGTACTATTCTGAAGGTTTCTGTGGGCTTCAAACCCTGAGCCTTAAATCTTTGACCCGAGGCCATTTTTCCTAGGTCGTAAACCCGAAGCCTTAAACTCTGAAGACTCTAAAGCCTGTCCAGGTCTGTGCGATCCTCTAAGAATGAGAGCACCGCACTTGCTTGGGGCAAAGTCTCCCGAGCTGGGTCCAAAACCCCACGGTGTTTCGATGACCCCCAAAGGCCCAAGACGCCCAACAGGCTGAGCCTAAATCTTCAGCCACAAGAACCTAAACTGAGGAGTTTCTTTGGGGAGGGCCCCACCTGACCCCAGAATCCCTTAAAGAAGGGATTTCTGGGGCTTTTCACCCGTCGAACAAAGGAAATCGCCGCGAAGCGCCGTTTCAGAGCGCAGGGGGACATTGGAGGGCTTTTGGGCTTTGAGGTTTAGCCTCTGCTTGGGACCCAGTTCGAGTGTGGCTAGTGGTGTTTGTTCCGTTGTCAAGGGTTGCGTGGCGGCAGTGGTTTGATCAACATCTCGCCACTCTCTGGTGGTACGTGCTGTTCCGAGCGAGCCTTGTCTGCGTTTCTACACCGTTAGACCGTAGATAGTGCAATTGTTTCCGTCTGGAGCGCTCTTTTCGGATCCAGTGCCCCGCGCATCTGCGTCCCGTGCCCATCACCTGCGCACTTCAGCCATGCCCCAGGCAGTGCTCTCAGTACTCGGGGGGGGGGGGTGGGAAGAAGAGGTTGAACGGGTATGGGACTCTGACACAGCGGCCTATCCCAAATGTTCCCGACTCGGAAGCTTCGGTTTGCTGTCGTCTTCAGCGGTCGTAAGGGTGGTCCTCGCTATGTTTTGGTCACTTGGAGTCTCCATGGCATGTCTACCTTTTCGCTGAACCATCGAATCCGCAACTCCCCAACTCCCCTCCTTCGAGACCTCAAAGCCCCAATGTCTTTTTTCAACCAGAACCCAAGACCCTTGGTGACTCCTTCATGCATCTCTTACTTCCCTTCCTGACAAAAGCCCTGCAGCCCCGAAGCCGAAGCCGAGGCCGTCATGACCTACGATCCCGTCCTGGACGAGGAGTCCCGCACCCTAAGCCTGGAGCAGGAGCTCCTTGGGGCCGGGGGGTTTTGGGTTTCGGGTTTAGGGTTTCGGGTTTAGGTGTGTACGGTTTTGGAGATTTTTGGTTGCGTCAGGTGCTTTTAGTGGGCCTTTCGCCCCTTTGCAGTGCTCAGTTTCCGTGCGATGACCCCTACCTGAGGAGCATTCGGAGGCTGTCTATAGACGGAAAGCCTTGAGCCACCACACCTGGTGTAGTTATCCCGTGCAAGCCCCCAAGCCCGAATCCCAAAGCCTCCTTTTAAAACTTTTCATTCAAAGCAACACCCGAAGTCCACGAAGGAGGAACTCCTGAGGGAGCGCCACGAGGAAGGTTCCCGCAACAAGGCTCTTGGGGAGTGCAGTGCAGTCTGAGTATTCAGTTCTTGTATCACCTTACAATCCCTTATTGTGTTGTATACAATGTAGTCCCGAAACCCTATTCTAATTTGGAGGGTTCGGGACCTCGGGCTTTTCGGACGTTGGAAGTTGTTGGGTCTCAGAAGGACTTTTGGGTTTGAAAGCGTTGCGGGTTTCCAGGGCCTCAAAGCAGCTTTGCAGTTTAGCCCAGGTACAGAGAGACACATTCTTAGATGCATATCTATGTGTCTCTCTCTCTCTCTCTCTCTCTCTCTCTCTCTCTCTCTCTCGCTCGATGACTCTTTCTTTGTCTGTTCTTGTTCTACCTCTGCATCTCCCTCTCACTCCCTCTCCCTCTCCCTCTCCCTCTCTCTTTCTCTCTCTCTCTTTCTCTCTCTCTCTCTCTCTATGGTTGCGAAGTGCTGCCCGCAGGAGTCCACACCTGGAGGGAGATACCAACGTCAAGAGACA